AAAAAAAAAAAAAAAAAAAACCCATAACATCCTATAAATAAAAAAAAAGTACGTAAAATCTTTACTAAAACAAAAAAGAAACTTTATTTATTATCTAATTTATTCTCTAATTGTATGAAAATCTGTTCTGATTTTGTTCAAACCGATTTCTGTATATTCAGATTCAGATTTTCTAATAAAAATATTAACAACAATATATATTTACTCTGCCCATTGTAAATTACAAATCTCAAAATATCGAGCCATCATCTTCCTCACTGTCAACCTTCTGCGAAAAAAAATATCCTCAATCAGTCTTTTATTCAAAACAATGAATCAAGGATTTGTGTTAATCAAACAAGTCAATATGTCTAATAGACATATGATCAAAGTTCGAATTGTGAAAATGTTTTTCCAAAACTGGGGCAGCACATACAAATCATATCTCGAGTTGGTTCTGCATGATAAAACTGTAAGCCAAATTATTTGAATTATTGTTTTAATTTCAAATTTGAAACGTATATTTTGATTTTTTTTTCGTGTATGTATTTTGATATTTTTGTACATGTTTAGTGAAATATATTTTCGACTATTTTTTAAATTATATTTTCAAATTTACAATTTGGCTTATTTATTCTACATTTCGTGTATGTATTTAGATAATTACATTATCTATATTTATTTTCGTGTATTATAAAACTTTTATTGAATATTGCATCTTATAGTATAATAATCCCCAAATAAATATATTCCGTGCCTCGCACATGTCACGTACTATATATATCCCATATATTTTTTTTTACTCATTTATATAATTATAAGGCTGGATAAATAGCCTTAAAATTGTACACACCGTGCATCGCACGGACTCTCTACTAGGTAATTAGCAAGGTCTAATTTTTTCGGTATACACAATCATTGTATTTTAATAGCTACTCTAAATTTTAATTATTGTATTTAAACAATTTTCTAATTAATGTCCACAACAGTCGAATTAGGGCTGCAAACGAATCGAGCGGCTTGCGAGCGCTCGAGTCAAAGCTCGACTCGAGCTCGAGTTTGACCGAACTCCAGCAGCTCGAGCACGAACTCGAGTCGAGCTCGAGCCTATATTTTGCCTCGTCGAGCGGCTCGAGATGCACATTAAATTACTAAAATGCCCATTATTATATATATTACCATAGGTGCTTAATGGTAATTTTAATTTTCTACTTAAAAATTTTTCGAGTCGAGCTCGAGCATTTTGATTTCGAGTCGAGCTCGAGCTGCATGCTGTAATTTTTTATCGAGTCGAGCTCGTGCCTTAAAAATCGTACTCGAGCTCGAACAGCTAAAAAAAAAACTCAATCATGCTCGATAAGGAATGCTCGACTCGGCTCGACTCATTTGTAGCCCTAACTGTCGAATCCTCTATTTTAGACTGAATTTACTGGATATTTTAATAAATTTATGAATTATGATTAATATTTCTTTAAACAAATTTTGATTTGTTGCCAATTGTCCAATGGTCGTAGACTTTCTGATTGGGCCGCCGTCTGAAAACTTCCATATACAGAGCACATGCGCACGTTAGCAATCAGTCATTGATATTTTTCGTATTTATTATTATTTTTTTTTAAAATTAAGAAAATCAATGATTTTCCTGCTGATTTATTGCAGCATTACTGGTTTTACTACTACTACTGTAAATATACTGAATCTTGAAAGACCTTCTTCACCTGTACATATACATACATCCCACCAGAAAAATATAAATAAATAAATAAATAAATACACGAACCTAACATTTAATCAAACCGAAAAAATTTCTCCATTTTAAGGGACCCCTGATTCTTGATCTATGCAGTTTTCAGACGGACCCCATGATTTGAATCCTTCAATTTAGCTTCTTTTCTCTTCTGCATTCAAAGTGTTCATTCGTTTCTGTTTTCTTTCTTTTTTTCTTCTATTTTTGGTGGGATTTTAAAACAGTTTGATTAACTTCAACTGTTCTTACAATATTTGCACAAATTCAGACACTGAAGCTTTCTGTCTCTGTGTTCTTGGCTATATAATCTATCAAAGATTGGAACTTTTTATCTGGGTTTTCATTTTTTTTCCCTCCAGTGAGACATTTACAGCTCAATAAATCATATTTGTGTGTGTTTGTGTGTGTTTGTGTGTGTGTGTGTGTGTGTGTGTATGTGTGTGTGTGTTTATTTATTTACATTTGCAGGAATCTGATTTATTCGAGGACATCAGGCATCAAGTGGGTCTCAGAATTTGACTCAAAATCAGCATCTTTTTTAGTCTCTATAGCAAGATTGGGTTGGTTTAAGCTGATTTAGTATAGGAAGGGCTAAAAATATGGAGTAGTTTTTGATTTGTTATACTTTGAAAGAGGGTTTAGGGGTGAGATGAGAGGCTATTTTCTGGGATTTAGAGGACAACAATGACTACAGGGTCATTGGGTCTTCGATCTTCAGGCAGTTATGGTTCATTACAGCAATTTCAAAATGGTTCCTTATTTTTCCCAATTCAGACTACACCGCCTACCTCTCGAAAGCCTCCTAAGACGGTTAAGGATAAAGATAAGCTAATCCTTTGGATGATTAAGTTTGCACAGAGAAAGAAGATTGGGATGCTGCTCTTGTGCCTTGTTTCCTTAGCTGTTTTCATGTGGGTTTTGATTGTTGGCAAAGGTTTGAATTCATATTCCTTTTTTTTATAATTTTTGTTTTCGTGTTTGCTTTTGTTGTTTTGGATTGAGAAGAGACTGAGAATTAGGGATAGGGTTGATTATTGAATGAGTGAAATTGTGTTCAATTTGGTGAGCTGTGGTGAAAATGGACTAAAAAAACAATCAAATTATTCCGCATATGGTTTTTGTATGTTTTGGCTATTTATAGAGTATGTTGCTGAATGATAGATAATGTTAATTCTTGAAACGACTTTGAATTGCTTTCCATTTGATTTTTCGAGAAAATGTACTGATTTTGTTAAACGATTCTTGTTTTTTTTTTTGGCGAAGATGCTCCAGAGAGTATTATTCCCAACATATATATCGTGCCCGGGCCATTATCCGACGAGAATGTTGATGTGAATGGAAATTTCTCTTCACAAATTATGGCTGTCAAAGCAAGTACAGAAAATACTATACAACCCGTTTTCTTTACGGGATACAAACTTCCACCTGGAAATCCATGCGAGCATTTCACATTGCCTCCACCACCGACCGATAAAAAGAGGACGGGCCCACGTCGTGCGTTTCGTTTTTCTTTTATATTTCCTTTTTTTTTCCCTTTCTTTCTTTATTAAAGTTGGTTACTTGATTTTTTTTTT